TGTTCGTTGTTTGTAGGTGTTGAAATCCTGGACGAGTTGAAATCATGTTCGTTATTTGTAGATGTTGATCGATCGTGTAGGAGTTGAAATCTGGTTCATTGTGTTTGATTTGATTTCATGTGGAGTTGAATTAGATAAGTTTTCAATTTTTGATTTGATTTGATCGTGTAGGTGTTGAATTAGGTTTTTGTTTTTAGTTTTGATCAATGTGAGAGAGACGAACTCAGTGTTGTTGTTTTTGATTTTTGAAGTTAATTTTTCATTATCTGTTATTGATGAATTTTCGATGGAGTTGATTTTGATTTTTGGAGTTGCTTTTTCATTCTCTGTCAACATGGTTATGAGTTGCTTTTTGGTGCTCTGTTTTTCTACGTTTTTGTGCTCTGTTTTTCTGTTCACTTTGCATTTTTTGTATAGTGCAGAGAAAATTGCAGGTTTGTTACTATAATTGAACTCAAATCACAGAGAAAATCGTAAACTTGTAGTGCAGTTATTTCTGACAAGTTTCTCTTCACAAGATTCAAGCACAACATTTATCTCGGACTCATAGTTAGATAAGAACGATCTCAATAAAGAGCCTCATCTCCATCCGAGCTAAATGCCTCAACTCATCAAAGACTCTTGTCCTCCATCGGAATATCTCAGGTTCCAATATGGTAGCACCATATCTCAGCAACTTGGTTCATCCATGTGGCACCTCGGCTAACAATTTCGACCACATGGACAATCCAAAAAATATGTCCCCACAACTGCTCCCTAGGTTCTATTACCTTGGCAACCTGAGGTGATGGAACCTACATCGTTTCATCTTTCAACGTGTCGGCTAAACAACATGCTAGAGATACTTTTCCGACCAAAATCATGACTCGCCGGCGTAAAGAAACAAGGACTCAATTGTCTACTCATCAAGAATCAAGAATGAAAAATCAAGAACCATGATGTTCTATCTCATCAATGCCTAACATCTCGACAGAGATTGCACTACTAGCAGAGATCATGACTTATTAGTTCAAGAACATCAAGACCCTAGTTTATTGCTTCTTCAACTTGGACTTGTTTTTTTTGTAGTGTTCTGGTGCTGCTACTGCGTTTTGATCTAAGATCATAAGACGCAGACACAGAGACTTTTGGTTTCTTTTTCGGGGTCTCTGGGGTTGTGCTGCTTCTGCGCTTTGCCATTTCTATAGAATGAAAACATAAACATTAAATCCCAGAGAAAATTACAAGGTAGCAATGATTACAATACAGAGAAAATTACAAGGTAGCAACATAAACATGACAGAGAAAATTACACAACAGAGAAATTTTGAGGAAATGGAGCATTGAACAAAATAAATATGCCAGAGAAAATTAGACACAAGATATAAACATAATGTGGCTAGAGAAAATTATAAATGCTGCCAGAGAAAATTAGACACACAAGTAAGAAGAGTAATTTGGCCAGAGAAAATTATAAATGCCAGAGAAAATTAGCCACACCAATAGAGTAGTAAGCCACAGATAATTTGCTTGAGAAAATAATGAAGAAACATAAACATGCCAGATAAAATTACACAATAGAGAAACACAAATGTAGCGAGCCAGAGAAATTTACAAAAACAAGAACGCAAGAAGCTTCAATAAGAAGCCCCAAATGCACAGAAAGCAGTTCAATTTTGACAGTTGGAAGGAAAGCAACCCATCATTAGTTGGAAGCAAAGAAATTCTAGACTTCCAAAGAATTTCTCTGGATTCAACCCAGAGAAAATTCAAATTTCTCTGGTCCAGAATTTCTTTGGAACGATAAAACTCTGAGTTGATCAATTTGTCATTGGTTTTGCTGCTGCTGATTCAATCACAATTTCCTGCATAAACAAATTAATAGTTCTTCTATGAGTTTGTGATAGATTTTCTTTAAACTTAATGGTATGAATTTCTCTGGGTTGAATCCAGAGAAAATTCAAATTTCTCTGGATCACTTTAAGCCTTCCTTTACTGTTGTCTCTTCCTCAAGCTTCTTTTTCCAATATTCTTCAAGTAGGGGTCCAAATATTGCTTTTCCAGAAACAACTCCAATTCTACTAAACCCAAAAAATCAAAAGACGTTATATTCAACACTCAGAGAAATTTTGAACCTGAAGATGTTATATTCAACACTGGATATATATATATGTGCTGACATTGTATATATATATATGTATGTATCATATATATATATATATATATGTTTGCAACCATAGATAAGATAACTAAGAGTGACTGTTTGATTATGGTTGCAAATGGTCTTAATTGATTAATTATCATATATATACTAGTCAAGACAGTAAGCAACAGATTGTATATATATATATATATGTATGTATCATATATATATATATGTTTGCAACCATAGATAAGATAACTAAGAGTGACTGTTTGATTGTGGTTGCAAATGGTCTTAATTGATTAATTATCATATATGTACTAGTCAAGACAGTAAGCAACAGATTGTATATATATATATATACATCTATCAACTCCACTCCACTCTGTTTGTTTACCCAGAAAATCAAATTTGCCAAACTTAGTGCTTTTGTTTTGCTGAATTTGTTTTTGTACTCGCCGGAAAATACCCAACACCAGTACCAGCATCACAAATGATAATATCCAGTAGACAGGTCAAAAAAATCAACTCATCTGAAGATAAACAGACGTAGGGTATTTTGGTCCAAGAAATTGATAAAATGTGCGGGTATTTTGGTTAGGGACCTGAGGCAGTATTACATTTTTTAATGTCCTTTACGCAAAAAATTGTTATTATTAGGGAGCTTAAAAAAAAAACCCCTAACAGAAATACTGTAGGTTTATAATCTGCATAAATGGACGTCATGTTGAAATGCAAGTTACCTTCAATAAAAAAAATAAGGCTAAATTACACTAACAATGCGTGAGGTTTTTTTTTAATGATAATTCTTTTTTACATTTGAAAAATTATATTTTCCTCCTTGATGTTGTAATCTTATTATAAATTATTCCTTAAATTGCTAATGTCATACTTTAAAATTTTCTAAATGACCATCTTGCCCTCTTTCCTGCCATTTCTTCTTTCTATCATCTGACTACATTCTACGAATTTTTATCATTAAATTCTACTTGAAGCTATTCTTATTGAGTGACAATATACAAACATAAATTTAATATAGAATTTTAAAAAACAATGATATAGTTTAATGGTGGTCTTTCCCTGTAAAACAAAACACTCATAAATATGATTTATATTTACAATAATATAACTATTACAACATTTTTATGGTATTTTTTGTATAAATTTTTATATATAAATATAATTTTTCATTTTATTTCCACCATTATATCTAGATTAGATCAATTTAATTTAGATATATTTAAAAAGTATAAAATTTGTACAAAAAATGTTTGTAAAAAATTCATTGAATACAACAAAATAAAATAATGTATTAAATTTTTATATTTTTTTTGTATTTAGTGAATTTTAAAAAATCATAAAATATTATACTTCTTAAGTATATCTAAATTAAATGTATCTAAAAAATACTTAAAATATTAAAAAATCAGTAAAAACTTTTTTAAAAATATGAAAAATAAAAAAATTTAATTTTTTGTGTGAGTTAAACTAAAGAAGATAATTGTTATTTCTTTTAAAATGACATGAACAAAATATGTGTATTATTTTATTATTTTATATGAATAAAGGTTAAATGGTAAATATATTATTTTAATATGATAGAGAAATAAGTATAATTTTTTAAATATAAAAGAAAAATTTGTATTAAATAAAAATTTTATGGGTGACAGTGTAATTCACCCAAAATATAATAATAAACAAATAAAATTCTGACTACATTTTCTACTGTTAGACATAGGAGGACTATTATATTGTACAATCACCAAAAATATTTACTTCCTGTGGGGCTTTTCGCGTGATGCGATTAGTTGTACTACTTTTTTTAATTATGATAGCCTCACATATATATATATACATAGAGATGTTTTAAAAAGTTGGTAAAAAGTTAATTTTTTAATTTTTTAATTTTATTTTGCCTTTCTATGAATAAATAATGTGAGAAGTGATGTGACTTAAAATGAATAAAAAGCTAAAAACTACTTTTTTACCAACTTTTCAAAAGACTCCATAATATAAGAGGTGAAGTAAAGAGCATTACCATCGGGTGCAAGGCTCGTGGATAAGGTAGTCCTTTTTACAAGGGTGTGTTAGGTTCAATTTTTAGGGGCGTGAAATATTAATTTTGTCTAGTTGACTCTTTTTGAAAAATTTGCTTTATATTTCAATCGATACTTGACATCTTCAGTGCATGTAACTGAGTTTCATTAGATATATCAGTGATGAATTCCTTCTTTTAAATTGGATTAAATCTGGCCGTCAATCGATTATCCCAAAACTATGATCCGTAGATATTGTAATATCTCACGGAGAAAAAAAAGGTAAATAGCATTTCTCAAAACCCAAAAGTGATGTGAAGCACATTAATAAGGATTATTTTGGAAAGATAGTTATAATCAGCTTTTTGATTAAATCACTGCTGGAAAAATGACTTTTAGCAGCGTTTTAAAAACGCCGCTATATGTTTGAAAAACGCCGCTAATTACTTTAGTGACGCTTAACACCAAACGCCGAGAACGCGGCCGTCGCCGTAAGTTTATGACGCTTTAAAAACGTCGTAAAATTAGCTAAATGTGGCAACCAACGCTAACATGACATCACACAGGCATTTAGCGACGTTTCAAAAACGTCGTAATAGCTTTTTGTTTTTTTAAAAAATATATCTATAGTAGCATTTTGAAAAACGCCGCAATAGAATTTTTATTTGATTTTATTTATTTAAACTACTAATTTTGTACCCAATAAAACTTTGTATAGACATTTCTGTGAGATTACTATACCCTCACATCTATAATAGTACCCAATACAACATCATTCAAGAAAAAAATCTAATAAGTTCAATCCCAAAAAACCAAGCAGCCATCTCATGCACAGTTTAACATCATCCAACAGCAATCTAATATAGAAGGCAATTAAAATTGTTTTAAAATACAAATTGACTCTCTCCTGTAGAATATAAGTTCCAGAATAGAGCAACAGATAAATACAAAAATCCCTAGAAAGAACCCCACTAATTCAACAAAATAGAAAGTCAAAGCATCTGTTCTAGAATGAGAATAAACTCACTCAAGTTCTAGATATCCATTGCATAAGTCTTCCAAAGTTAATTCTAATTTCCCAATTGTCTAGCCATTGGCTTTCTAAAAAAATTGTGCAAAACATAAACACTAATGTTTTGACATCTATGAACTATACCCAATATAAATTTTTAAAAGACCAATTCCAACAATAACTGATGTCTCAAGGATATTAGCCAACACAAATATTGCAAAGAATAAAAATTAGAGGAGCATCTAGATTCACCAATGCTTGAACAGGTCTGAGCTTCGGTTTCTCTGTTTTCGCAGAAATTCCTGAGGTGATGTATTCATGTTTGGCTAGTAGTCACTGAAAGTCATCATTCAGTGCAAGTCCTTGACATAGCAGTGATTCATCCCTACAATAGGCATATGAATAATGAATATACATAGTCACAACAGCATTGGTTGCATATAAAGAGTAAGCTGTAGCATCTACTACATCCAATCCCAAGTCATTTTCTTATTGTACATAACTCTTGTTCATTCATAAATCAGAAACCACAGACAAGTAAATACATACATGCACACCCATCCACACACACACAGAAAAGATATGCTAAAAGGGTATCACTTGGAGACCTACCTGAAAAAAAAAAAAAAAAGTATAAAAAGGGTATCACATGGAGACCTGCCTGAAAAAAAAAAAAAAGTATAAAAGGGCATTCCATTTTTTAAAAAAAGTTCCCAGGAATATTTGATTCCAAATTAACCCAACCAATTTGGCAAGCCTCATTCATTGTCTACTCTCTTCTTGCTGGTCATCCTTCATTCTTAAGTAACTACAAAATTTAGTATGAAGTATAATTTTTTTTCCCTTTATATTATTATTATTATTATTTTATTTAGAACAAATTTTCTGCCTAACAAATGAATCCATGATACTAATGGGTATTAATAAATCTGGAATTGACCTTATGGGTATTAATAAATTCGAATAATCCCAGCACACACAATGTTTGAGCTGCATAATGAGGAATGAAGATATTAACTGACCAATACAGGGAGAAACAGCTACCTCAAGCCTTTAGAAATAGTATACTTACTTGACTGATAATATTGCACAATACATCCCTCCAAACTCTTGATCCCTCACGTTCCTCCTGCAGAAACATTTAAAGTAATTGTGACATGCAAATTCCATGTAACTCGTACCAACACGCACAAAGAAGGTTAAGAACAAAGTCAAAGATAAATCATAAAAGATTAGAAAGAGAATTTTAATACTCACCCATAAACCATGTGAGGAACAAGATCATTACGGATTGTGTTTGAATCTACTATCGGGTCAAACCGATCCTAAAGTCCAACCATGAAATAAAAGAACTTATCATTGCTCCTGTGACAATATTTCTTTCATGTTCAAGACAGTGAAACATCAACTAAAATCATGGAAGGCCTAGAAAAACGGCAGCTACCAACTGTCCCCAACATTAACTCAGTTGATAAGTGAAAATCTCAATGGCTGAAATCCATAAATTGATGACTGAGGTTTCTTAGAAGCAAGAAATGCTATATAAAATGCAACAATCTTTGCAGAATGCTAGCAATCACTCTATACAAAAACAATATCTAGCTAACTCTTCTCTTCTGTGAGGGCCTATCTTCTATTTTTTCATAGTAAGAATAAATATATGATACAAGAAGTAACAGTAACTACCTGACGTGGCAGTAATTATGGACCAAGTTCATCCTCGAGTTGAAATAGGTACCGCCTGCATCCAAACATTGACTTCCATGTCTGTAATGGCAAAGGTAAAAACCCGAGTTTCCTCTCTGGAAGGGTGGTTTTGTCCAGGGTTGGAAAGGACCGGGAACAATCTTACATCTGATCCAGTACTTCCCTTCTTACCTTCAAGTTCCACCATTGCTTTCTTAATCACTGGTTTAAATTTTCCAGCCAAATTTTACCGTCCATAATGAGATTATAGAAATAATTGGATCTGTAATAAAGAAAGTTAATGATAAACAGAGGATTGGGTCAACTAAGATTTTAGTAGTATACAGAAATCCTACAAGTCTTGGCGTTTATTGTTATGAAAGCACAACAAAACATGTTGTAATTTATAACTATGTCTTTTTAATGAAAGACTAAGTGACTAAAATTAATTTAGTTTTTTTTTAAATTTATAATGTGCTTAATTGAAATACCCATTTCACTTTACAATAAAGAGAATGACTAAAAATTTGAAAAATAGGAGCATATTTTTACTCATCCTTTGTAATGGTGACAAAGGAGAATGGGGTATATATATACCGTGTCTTCTCTCCACATCCATCAAGGAAGTTAATGCTGTGCCACCCATTGTCCATTCTTCAACTGGAGCATTCAAATTTCCCACCTACAACCAAAATCAAGGTATTCAGATGAAGTATCAAAGCATTTCGAAGATATGATCCTTATTGCTGGTGAACAAGTTAGAAAAAAGTTTTAATGCAAATGGGATGATATTGCAACAAAAAGAACGAAAGAAAGAATTTGCAAGAAAAAAACATGATACAAGAAAATAAAAGATAGAAACACAAACTGAGGAAATCAGTCCGGTCTTTCCAGAATGGAGGAGAGCCCCGGCAGCATAACCCAATGAATAGCAGTAATTGGAGTCAAAATTTGAAGGCAAACCACATCTACCCTCATAACTGAAAAATGAAAATTGTGTTACAAAAGAACTAAACATACAGTCCACACTCTCTCATTTGTGAGAATCAAATCCAAGAGAGTCAAACAAAAGAAGGAAGTTTTTACCCAAAAAAGTGGGATTGCCCTTGGAACTGATGCTTATATGCACCAGCTGTCTTTCTGCTCTCCAATTCAGTTTCCACCATTTGAATAAGCATTTTTTCTGTTTCTATCCTGGCAACCTAAACATATAATTGCAATAATAAAAGATGTAAACTTAAATATACATCACAAAATACCAATAATAAAAGACGAAAACTATCCGTTTTGAATAGCTAGAGGCAGAAAATACATTGATAAGCAGATTAAATACCTGTACATTCCCATGCGGACCTCTTTCGAGGAGTAGTTGTTCCTGAATTGCTTGGGGTAAAAAATCAAAAAGCTGCTGAGATTGGCTTCTAAGTTTTTTCTTCCAAGTACCAGCCTCATCCACAGTATCATGGGCGAGGATTTCATTAAGCTCTGCAATAAGTTGTTGCACCTGCAAATCATAAACCATGATGAAAAAGTGATTCAGTATATTTAAAGCACAACCAAAGTAGGGCTTACTTACACCATCAAAATAACAGTGGACATCATATGTAACAGTTGACAAAATGATGGCCAGGGCAAAATCAAATCCAGTGCTAGATGTTCATTTATGAGCAATGATCACCGTATCACCTGATGATTGTTTGTATGACTAGTTTAGTCCCCATTGGATGTGGGTCTGGAAGAGATAAATTGAGTCCTAACCTAACCTTTCTCATAATTTGCACAAATTAGTTGCCCTCAAGTTCGAACCCACAGCCTTGAGGTTAATAATTATTGAATATCTATTTGATCTGGATACAATCAGCTAAGCCAAACTGCCACTAAACCCATTGACTAATGACACTATTGAAACAAGGGTAATGGCTGGCATCCTTCAGTAACAGTAGCAAGAATTTTAAATAAAGTAGTCAGCCTCATATTGCGAACTAGAGGAACAACTCATCAAATGAAGTAGGTCGGTAACACGACATGTAATTTCATCAACGAATTAGAAAGAATATAAGAAAATACTATCTCCACATGTAACCCAATATTTTTTAAATTTATTTATTTATTTATTTTTATAAATAAGCAACTTTATTGAAAGCGCATCAAGACGATGCAAAAGAATACAAAAAGACAGGAGATAGCACCAATAGTAATGATGCCTTATACTCAACACTATCTATACACAGATCTCAATTCACAACAAATGAAGCAGAATGGCATAGCATCCATGCTCGAAACGACTGAACAAAGGTTTTCCCTGTACAAGACTGAACAAAGAATATAGTATCAATGATAAACTTCAGCAAAAATTTAAAGAAATGATTTAGGAAGATTTTCCTCTATTTATAAGTTAAAAAAATTCAAAGAACAATCCTGAATACATGTTTACAAGTAATGACATTGAATATATAGCAAAAATACAATTGCAAAAGCTAAAATATACCTATCTTCTTTGACAAATGTATAAGTATCTTCAATCTACCAGAAAATACCACTACAAAAAATACACAAATAACAAAATAAAAAACCACAGCAAATCACCATCTAACCAGCAATCGAATGCAAAGATGGGAGTTAAAGCTCCACAATCTTGTGCTAATAGACAATGAAAGCCACAAACCCCCAATTTTGTCACAAAATTTGTCAACAAAACCAAAAACATTCTGAGAGAGAGATTGAGAGATCGAGAGAGAGGGAGATAGAGATAGAAACAGAGACAGAGATCGAGAGATCGAGAGAGAGAGAGAGAGAGAGAGAGAAGAATCGACAAAACTGAGATTGGATTGAAATCGAAATCCTGCAGATGGTTAGTAGACGATGCAGATGCAGAGGCCGATGGTGGTGGCGGTGGCGGTAGCGATGGCGGTGGAGCTTCGAAATCAAAATCATTTTGAGATTGGATCGACTGAATGATAAATCACCGAGCTGAAGAAGGTTGAATCGAGTTGAAGGGTTTAGAGAGAGAGAGAGAATCGGTTTCTCTGAGACTCTAGGGTTTCTCAGATTCAAATAAGTGAGTGAGAGATTTGAGGGTTTGAACAGAGAAAGAGAGAAACACTGTTAACACATTTGAAGGCGGTTTTCAAATGACTTCATTACTTTAAACGACACCGTTTTAATTAAAATAAAATGTCACATTTATAAATCGCCGTTAAATATTAAAAATAATGACGTTTTAAAAAAGTGCCATTAAATAAACGCCGTTAAATCATATATTTCCTGTAGTGAATACTGCTTATAAGCTGATTATAATCAGTTTTTTGTGAGAGAGGAAAGTGTGTTATAATCTGAAAAGTAGATTATAACTCACTTCCCAAAACAAGCTACACATCTTTTTTATTAAAAAAGCTATGATTATGTTTTCTGTTGCACTTTCGCATTACGCTCTACCAAATTTTATGTCGAGTCAACCCCATAATCCCTTTGGTATACATTGAAAATATATTTAATGATATAGTTTTGTGATGTTTTTTACATTGTGTAATATTGCACTCCACATTTATTACAATTATTTTTTTCTTATATACATGTTCACCTCCAAAGATTAAAATCATGTATCAATCCCTACATATTTTCTTCCTTATTTTATGTTTGGTTGTTCTGGATATTTGTCTCTCAAAAAATGCAATACTACCTCAACAATATTGGATATCCTGCCACTTGTTTATCATTCATCCAATGGTAAAAAATAATTCACTCCTTTTATCCTATGTTATATCCTATTCTCACCTAATACAATAAAAGTGACCTGAATATATATGGTAAATTACATTGACACCCCCTGAGGTTTCTGTTTAATGCAGATCTCCTCCTCACATTTAAAAAGTTACATTTCCTTCCTTGAGGTTTGTAACATTACAAATTGTCCCTGAATTGCTGATGTCATGCTCCAAAATATTTTAAATGACCATCTTGCCTTTTTTTCCTGCCATTTCTTTTTTCTATCATCCGGCTACATTTTACAATTTTTCATTATTAAATTCTACCTGAATATATTCTTATTGAATGATGATCACAAATATAAATTTTATATAGAATTTTCAAACACAATGATGTAGTTTAATGGTGACCTTTCACTTTAAAATAAAACACTCATAAACATGATTTATATTTATAATAATATCACTATCACAACATTTTTATGATATTTTTTGTATAAATTTTTATATATGAATATAATTTTTCATTTTTATTTCCACCATTATATCTAGATTAGATCAATTGAATCTTCATATATTAAAGTATAAAATTTGTACAAAAAAGGCTTTAAAAAAATTATTGAATACAACAAAATAAGATAATGTATTAAATTTTTGTATTTAGTGAGTTTAAAAAAAAAAAATCTCAATATATTATACTTCTTAAGTATATCTAGATTAGGTGTATCTAAATTTTTTTTAAAAAAATGCTGAAAATATTAAAAAAATTCAGTAAAACTAAAAAAAAAACACGAAAAATTTAAAAACTCAATTTTTTGTATGAGTTAAACCAAAGAAGATGATTGTTATTTCTCTTAAAATGACATTTACAAAATATCTGTATTATTTTATATGTATAAAGGCTACGAGATAAATATGTCATTTTAATTTGACAGGAGGGTAAGTGTAATTTTTCAAATGTGCGGTGGGATCTGTGTTGAATAGAAATTTCAGGGGGTGTCAATGTAATTTACCCTAATATATATAATCTATCTCATATCATCAACATATTATATATCATTGTATATCTCTAAGTATTACATATCATCCTTACCCTCTCAAAACAGGGTCTTAATAACTTTAAAATTTAACAGTTTTTGATAAATTACATTAGCCACCCTTAAGGTTTAGAAAAACTACATTAAGTCTCACAAATTTAGTATAATTACACATATCTCCTTTTGGTAAGACTAAAGCAAACAATATTAAGAATAATGACTTGGACCCCCTTTTTTACTCACCCCCTTGACCCCCTCTTCCCATGATTGGTCCCTTTTTCTTTTTTTTTTCCTTCTCCTCCAATCACCACCCGCCACGTGTGTGTAGGGGTGGTGGGGGTGGTGATTGGAGGGGGTCTCAATCATCACCCCAATATTAATATTCCAAATGGCGTTTAAAAACAGGGATAAACAAGAAATATATATATATATATATATATATGACAACTTTATTTTTCATCATTGTAATTAACGAATTATTGATGTGTGAGTGATTTTCCGATTACACTGCCCAACTTAGTATTCAGTTGGAGAGCACTGACAGAATAGATGACACCTGGCTGACCTGCAACAGAAAGAGAAGATTATGGCGGTGGTTCGTCCACCTAGGGGTACTTCGACGATCAAGTTAGTATATCCCTCAAAGATAATCAATAGTGCTAAACTCACTGTTCAGAATATAAATTGCGTACCTTAGACTCATGGGGGTGCCTTTCTTTTATAGCAAACTCAATCCTAGTCCCAATAGAAGCCTAGCTTTAATGGACTCTTGCTCAGTGCTTATCTTGGACTCTTCAATAGATAAAGATAAACTCCCTAAGAGCTTTATCTTTATCCTTGCTAACGCCCTTCCTTATTCGAGGACTCTCATCCCTTATTCCCTTATCTCGGATTCCAATATATTCGGAGAGAACCTCGGCCTTGCCGAGATCACCTCGGCGTCATGACCTGGACACGTGGCACCTCGGCTGATACGTCGGCGTCACCTTGGCCACGTGTTAGGACTTAGAAAATATATCCCCACAACTGCCCCCCTAGGTTCTATTACCTTGACATTCTGAGGTGATGGAACCTATATCGGTACTTCTTGCCAGTACATCGGCTTCAGCCAAGATCATTACTATAGGCCGACATGTCTTCTTAAAGATCAAGATATCCAAGAACTTCTTCACACGTATGAGCTGTTATACATAATAACTCAACCATTTAAGCCACGTGCCTTCCCCTCATTGGATCGTACTTGTTACGCGCATGTAAGTCGTCTCATGCCTGCGTGCGCCGTCTGACAAATCCGTTTTTCTAGGCTCATCAATTCTGTGTTGCCGCCGTTTTAGGTTTTTAACAAAACTTTTCCCCTTTTCGTCTTTTCACTTTACATCATCTCTATTCAAACTCTTTCTCTCTCTTGCCTTCTCTAATCTTCCATTGTTCCAAGCTCTGAAGCTCTGCTGCCACCGCTATTTCACCTCCTCCGGCGAGGCTCTTTTTTCCCTACCGCCGTTTGTCTGACTTCGGCGATCTCAACATCGGCTTTTTTCCCTCTAGTAAGTCATCGTTCCTTCTGGTTTTTAGTTCTTGTTACGCTCCAAGAAATTTTACTTTATCATTAGTCGCCATTGTTGTTTTACTCAAACATTTGATTTATGAATCATGCATCTGAATGTGTTTATTTCACGATTTTGCCCTTTGCCCATGTCTTGAATACTCGCACTACTCACAATTTTTCTGCAATTTTGCAACTGTTCTTGACCTTGTACCTTTTCACACACTCTGGCATAGTGTTCTTGGTCATTCACCCTTGTTCTTGATTCTGAAACACGTTCTTGTTTTCTGTTTTCTGTGTCTTTTCCAAATTTTTGCCTCCAGTCTTGCTCCATTTTATTTAGGTTTGGGATTTGTTTGTAGAACCCTTGATTTTTAGGAAAAACTGGAACTATTTCCTCAAATTCTTATCCAGCACACAATTTTGATTTTTGCTGAGGTCCCAATAACCCTTTTAAAACACCTTTCTGAAATCCAACCCCTTGAGTTAAGCCGATATCATGGGTATGTGGAAGCATAGGGTAGACACCCCGACAAAATTAGAATACTTCAGGCGAGAGTTTTCCATTCATGCCGACGTCCATCTGAGGTTGGCTGGGGATGACGACTCTATCATGCCCGATGTAAACCTCATGCCTTTCCCAGTAGTAGCGTTTATTGAGTGTGGACTTAGGTTTCCACTTGACCCTTTCTTCCGTGAAATCCTCCACTTCTATAGGTTGAACCCAATGCAACTTGCAATCAATTCGTATCGAGTTATTAATGGTACCATAGCCTTAGCCAAACAAGAGAATGCTAGGATTACTCTTGCCGAATTCCAGTTATGTTATACCATGTGTCGCTTGAAATTAGAAAAAGGCCACATCTATTACCTCAAGCCAAGGTCTACGGAATACAAAATTGTTTCCAACCTCCCTGACTCTAACAAGGGAGCAGGGGATGATTACTTCATCGTTTCGGGTAATTGGGAGTTTTAGCCAAACGATGGCCTTCATCTTTATCCCCTAAGTCGAACAGTTTTCAGGAAAGGAGCTGGTAAGGGCCACTGTAGACACCCCATTTTTGACAGTCCTCAAGACTTGGACGTCACCGTTTGAACACTCGGTGATCATCCTTGTTTGTGTTCGTCTTGAGTTCCCGGAGGTCTCGGCTACGTGTCTTGCCTCAGGATCTCTCGACTCGACTGTTTTGTGTTTGGGTTTGCACCAAACACTTGCGTTTTTGCTTTGGAGGGCAGGGAATGGCTTGTTGGCCATCCCCACACTCCACCGGCCATGGCTTGAGGCCACCGCTTGTGTTTTGTTGCCATCGGCCAAATGTTTTGGCGACCGGCACTCGAGATGGTCAACGGCCATCTATTTTGGTCAAATTGCATTTTTGGCTGGCCGACCACCGTTCATCTGCTTTTGCAGATATTTTTATGCCAGCTGTGCTAGCTGGCATACACTTTGCTCCCTTCATACACGTGTATGGAGGGATCTCCCTCTTGGCTAATTTGTATGGAAAGCTTTACAAGGGGGATTGTCTATAAGAGGGAGCCTCTTCTCCTTCCATTAGGGTTGACAAATTTTTCAGAGCTTTGAGTTTTAGGGTTAGGGTTTGTTCATACTCTATCTCTATATCTCTCCCTCTCTTGAGTGTTTAGTGTGTGTTTGTTCTTACTATTGCACACAAACACC